TTAGTACGTAGTGGGGGAGAGAGGTGGGGGGAGGACTAGGAGAGGGGGGGGGAGGGGGTGTTTGAAGAGGGAGTTTAACTGATTAACAAAGGAAGAGAGGGAGCGAGGGAGCACCCCGAAAGATGGGAGGAAGAAGGAGGAGAACGGCATGGATACCCAGAGGAGGACAGACGAGGGGAGGTGTTAGTTGCATTTCAATGAGGCTCCGTCCTCCTCTCCTCCCTTGATAACTTCTTCCTCTAACGAGGAGTAAAGCCCCTCTTTCCATTTCAGATGAAACCCCAGAAAAAAAAGAAAGAGGAAGCAGAGCTATATCTGATAATAACCCAGCATGCCGCCCAGGGACCCCGGCCCAATACTGGGACGCTCCGTGTTTATATAGAGGACGAGCCGGTGTAATGACTAAATCATCCCTGATGAAGGAGTGAACTTTGGATTTCACACCTTCACCTGCCGTTAAATTAAGGTCTTAAAAAAAAAAAATCAAATATCACGTTCAAAACACAGATTATTATTTTTTTTCTAACTTAATTCTTTTGAGAGATTCACATTTTGGCCACTAGGAGCAGAAAAAAAGGTGAACTGTTCAACCCAGAAAGGTTTGACAAATTAGTGTCTGTGGTTCTCACTCTTTGTTTTTGTGTACGTGTGTGTGTGTTGGTGGGTGAGAGAGAGAGAGAGAGAGGGAGAGATGAATAAGTGAGACTATAATCAGAATCTAAACAGGCTCTCAGTCTAAATGATGCAGGGCCGTTCCCCTGGTCTGTGGGGACACACAGGAGAGAGGGATAATTGAAAAAATGACAAGAGGAAGCAGAAGGAGAAAAGAGAGAGGCTGACACAGTCCTCCCCTCCTTCTCATCCCTCCTGGTAGGAGCAAACCACAGCGCTGTTTATCCTTGTCACTGAGCATTACCACCTCACAGTAGAAGGGACGCCTGAGTCTCAGTCTCAGTCTCTCTCTCTCCCTCTCTCTCTCTCTCACAAACACATGCAATTAAGCCATTGTAAAAAAGATCTCAATCTTTTTACCACAGCTCCATGTAGTTATTTATTATTGAAATGGTAAAAAAAAACATTGTTATGGAGCTCTGACTGGAAAACACACAAAAGTTCAAAGTTTTTTTTTCTATGAAACCGTAACAATTTTACTACATTAATCACATCCTGGTCTTTTTAAGT